TGCTGGCATCCGGAATAATTGGCGATATTGCTGCTCGGTGGGTTCTTGCGCACTAAAGATCACCGCCCCTGAGTGGGCTGGGAAGGCAATGCGGTATTCGTTCATATCCCGCAGCCCTTGGGCTATTTCGCTTGGACTACCGTCGCCTGTCGACGGATGACTGGGCTGGTCCAAAGTTGCATGGCCGGCTGCGCGCCTTCTACAAAGGGGAGCTGCGGCAGGAAAAGGGCTAGAATCACGAAGAATTCCCGGAAGGGGATGGGCTGCAACAGGTCTCTTGTGACTGCGGTAAGCCATTCAGCACAATCGCTTTGCTGAGCACCACCTACCCGGAAGGTGCGTAGGAGAAGGGCCTGCGCCTCCGCCATCGAGGTGATGCCTTGGTCCGGTACACACTGGTTGAGCAGTGACAATAGTGCATCATCAGGGAGGTGTATGGCAGGCACTAGCCTAGCGATTGACAGGTATGACCTCCGGATACCTGAGCTTCAGTTCGGTCAGGTCATATCGACCCAAAGGGAGCTGGCACCGTAACCAGTGGAGGTATTGGTGTTTGGAGGTACCCATCCATTTGTCAGATCCACTTACCACAGTATAGTCTAAGCGATGCGAGATAACATGGCGCTCAATCTGATTGGGTTGCCAATCACACAATAACATGGAGGGATTGTAACTACAGGGTTGCATGCCTAGTTTCCTTTTTCGTGACGCATTTTGCTGTGATTCCATGTTCACTTGATTGGTTGCAGTTGCTTGTAACTAGCAGGATGTATCTCAGAAGATTGCAGTGCAAACAGTAACAAAGGGCTTGTAACTAGAGGGTTGTCTAGATTCTAGATTCCTTTTCCAATTTGCTGTGGAGTTGAGCTCTTGTGCAATTGGTCCTGGCAGGAATCTTTACGTGAATCGGTTGTCGTTTCGATCTGTCACGTACCACCTTGAAAGCGTTGAACTTTCAAGATCCCAATGATGAGGAAAAGCAAGTGTTAAGAGTCATCACTGTGAGACTCCAGAAAACTTGCTCTTTGAGGGGTCTTGAGTTGTTGAGCCTGTTGTCTTGCGTGTTTGATCTTGGTTGATCGTGTTTTGGACTTGCTTGTAGCTGGTTGTCCTGGTTTTGGTGACCGTTGATCGACCTAAAGATCATCTTGGAGGACAGGAGTCGAGATCTTAGTTGATGCTCGAACCTTAGTTGCTCAGAGAAAACGAATAGAAGAGAAGAAGAAGGCAGGAAGAACCAGAAGAAGGTACGAGGTGACCCAAGAATGTGACCAAGAATGGCTAGGAACACCTTTAGAGAAGCCCTGGCTAGAGCTGGGTATAGTATAGAATAGCTTGAGAGTGTTTGGAGATGCTTTCTTGTTCTTTTAACATGGTTTGGACGACTGCGACCAGTCAGACCTCTTCAGAAGAAGAGATGAAGGACTTTGATGATCACGAAAGGTAGCGGTTACGCTACCTGAGTTTTCCTTTTGCTTTAGCAAAAATGTATTAACCCAGAGCTGCAGCCTATCTCTCGGAGAAATGGTCCCCGACATCTTCGTTTGCTGGCCGCGGGGGGGGGGGGGGGGGG